TTATGACACTAAAATCATAATTTATAAAAATGTAAATTGATAAAATAGTATCTATTCATCAGTACCAGAAACATCCACTCTTCAAAAAACACTTTAAGAGACCCTGAAGACAAGCCACAAGATACAAGAAAATATTTTCAAATTATATATGTGACAATGAACTTGAATCAGAATTCAAAAAGAACTTTAAAATTCAACAATAAGTTAACAGATTTTTAAAATGCAAACAAAAGATTCGAACAGGACATAATATACAGAAAGAGAAATATGCATATGACAAATAAGTACCGAAAAGATGATCATCATTAGTAATTAGGGAAATGCAAACTAAAGCCAAAATTAAAATACTGGCCAAACGAATTGTTTTCCAGTATTTCTACCATTTTATATTCTTTCTAATGCAATTAAAAAAAAATCAGTTGCATATGCTTGTATTCCCAGCTACTTGGGAGGCTGAGGTAAGAGCCCACAAGTTCAAAGTCAACCCAAACAACATAGTGAGAACTTGTCTTAGAAAAAAAAAAAAAATCTGTCTACCGATTTTTAAAAAATCAAACTTCTTTGGAGAAATGGTTGATTACAAGACTGGAGCAAGAAATATTCAAGATGAGTCTGGAGCATCATGTAGTACCAGGAAGCAAGAAAGTATTCCAAACACTCTCTCTCTCTCTCTCTCTATCTGTCCTTCTCTCTCTTTCTGTTTCTGTCATGGAAATGTGTCAAGAGGGACAGGATTACAATAAAAGAGCTCCTGATGCTAAAAGCTGGAACAACTTCATCAATAAAATGAGTCCATATTGGAACACTAAAAGGCTGAATAAAGTAGTAAAAGGAAGAGGAGTTAGATCTTTCAAGCAGAATTACAAATAAATTATGTAGATATTCTATTTTAAAGGAGAAAGAGCATAACCCCCTACTCCTCCATAACCCCAAGTGACTCACAGTGACTACCTTTCAGAGAGTATAATATGGAAAGAGGGAAAAAGAATAAGTGCAGTACAGAAACTTGACAAACCTTACTTCAGCCAGGTGATCAAGGTCAACATTAACAGTCCTAAGTTATGTGACAGTACGTACAGATATGACATAATGATTTTATTTTACCTTTTGATTTTCCTCCTCAAAACTCAGGACTTCAGCTCACTCAGAGAGTGGTATACTACAATACCTTCCAGGATTGTCAAGGTCTTGAAATACAAGGAAAGTCCGAGAAACTGTCACAGCCAAGAAGAGCTTAAGGAGACATGCCCCGCATGGGATCCTAGAAATAAAAATGAACAACAAATTAAAACTAAGGAATTCTGAATAAATTGTGGATATTAGTTAATAGCAGTGTATCAGTATCAGCTCATTAAATGTAACAAATGTACTTTATTAATACAAGATGCTAATAATGGAGGAGACTTTTTACAAAGGCCACATCATTTCCTATTATCTGCTTAGCTCTTCTATAAACCTAAAATATTCTAAAAGGAAGGCTATTAAAAATGTACAGAGAAACATTAGATCTTAAGAATATATATATAGTGTGTAAAATTTATGATGATGTTTATTAAACCAGATGTGACTCTTTAAACCCTAGAACATAGTGACAGAAAGCAGATTAGTGGTTGCAAGGGGACCAGTAGTAGTAGTGCAGGGAGGGGATAAGAAAGAAATTAAAAAGTAGCATAAGCACACATTTAAAAAAATAAAAGCACACTTTTGGAGGCCAGGGTTATGTGTGCCATCTTGTTTGTGGTGATAGCATACATATGTTTGACATACATACATATATGTAATTTAATAAATTGTACAGTTTAATATGTACATCTTATTAACAAACTGTACAGTTTAAATATATGTGCTTTATTGTATGACAAGTGTAACTTAATAAAGCTTACTTTTTTTAAACTAGGGAAAAAATAAGTTCCAGGTTTAACTTTTCTTCTAAAGAAATAGTTGTTGGGAATATATTTACCCCATCACACTTGAATTTAACCAGTGAATTTTGTCTCACTCAGAGATTCATATAGTATTTGGGAAGTTTCTGTGCCAGGCATGTCAATCACCCAGCACCAAGTTTCACAGTGTAATGATGTATTGGAACATGCTGGGAATCTTTACTGTTTTTTCCCATTTAAACCCCTGAGCTAAATCCCCGGCCCCTCCATTTAAAGATTTTTTTAAAGTCTTATGGAAACAACATAGTCAGATAATATGGCTTGAAAGAATTTTTGTAACCAATAAAAATTAAGCTAAATAGTTTTTCACATTAAAAATTAGGCTAAGAATTAATTTTATGGCAGCAAGCTAAAATCAAATTCAAAACCATCTAACATTTATCATCTAACATTTGATTGCTTGGGTTCAAAGTTGGCTCTCTTACTATTTTTATAATACTGTATTGAGTCACTCTGCCTCAGTTTTCCAACAACAAAATGGAGATAATAGTACCTATTTCATGCGACTGTGAAAACATGTAAAGGGTTTAGAAGACTACCTCCCAAAGTTGTCTAGATTCTTCCAATTCTACAGATTCTATGGCAGTAGCCATTAGGGAAATAAAAACTAAAATCACAATGAGGTACCACTAAGAGATATATAGTAAAAAAGACATGCCAAAAATGTGGAGAAATTCTAACATTCATGCACTATTGATGAAATTATAAAATGTACAATTACTTTGAAAAAAGTCTGGCAGTTCCTCAAAAAGTTAAAAGCCTTGAGTTACCATGTGACCCAGCAATTGCAGTCCCAGGCATTTACCCAAGAGAAATACACATGCGTGCACCAAAACTTGTACATGAATGTGCATAACAGCATTTTTCATAACAGCCAAAAAATTGAAAAAATAAAAAGTTCAACAACTGATGAATAAATGCAATATATCTACACAAAGAAATATTGGCAATAAAAGCAATGATGTAATTATATATGTACATGTATGTGCATGCATGTACAACATGGATGAATCTTGAAAACATGCTAAGTGAAAGAAGCCAGTCAAAAAGACCGGAAATGGTATGATTCCATGATATTAATGTGCAATATACCTCAATCCACAGAGACAAAAAGTAGATTGATAGGTGCCAAGAGAATTGTAGGGAAGTGGGGAATTACTGTAATGGGTATGATTTTTTTTAGAGTTCTATAAATGTTCTGAAATTGGCAATAGTGATGATCACACAACTGTAAATATGCTTAAAAAAAACAACTGAATTGTATGCTCTGAGTGAGTGAACTGTATAGTACCTGAATTATAACTCAGTAAGGCATGTCAAGTGTTTTTAAGATGGACTGGAAAAAGTCTGAAAAAAATAACAATAATAATAATAATAAATTAGGTAATTTTTCTAACCTTATCTATTTTCTTCCCACTCTAACTCCATGCTCCATCCATAATAGTCCCCTTATAATTCCCACACTGTATTTTCTTATTAGATGCCTCCTGGAATACTCTGTAGCCCTTTGTACCTACCTAAACCTTACATATCTAAAACTAGTGAGTTAATTAACTGTTAGAACAATCAACTCCAAAACCCAGTGATCTAACTTGCTTATTTCTCATTCATGTGGGCCCTCCCGAGTTGATGCAGGGATGTAGGCTCCTTACCCCTGGAAGCTCCAAGCATCCTGAAGTCTGGGAATTTTCCTTTGTATCCTCCACACCTGAGTGAGAGAAACTGTGAGGCATTAGCATACCTTGACCTTGACACCCTAAAAGGAACTTTCCAAATGATTACATGATTAACGACTGATTAATTAATGAATTTGAACATATTTAAAATGATGTGAAGATACCCAGTGACTTTGGTTTAGCCCAAACATTTTAGTTTATGGCTCTCTAGCTGAAATATCTATCATGATATTTTCCCCTCTCTCCACAGAGTCTTCATAAATTTTGAAAGTTGAAAGATAACTATTTTTAAGAATAAGAATACTGAGAGGAGAGAATACTGTTCATTCTCTACTGGGGATCTTATGTTGTAGTATAGGACATAAACCAGAGCTAAAGGAAACTTTCCTGAAATGGGTATTTACTAAGAATTAGAATGCATTCCTTAGAACTATCAAAGTATGGCATAGAACATCCAAAGTCTCCATACAGGTAGAGAAGTGTTACCAATTATCTGCCACTCTCAAACTGCTAAATCATGTTGGGCACTTTCCAAGAGGAGAACCACAGTGGTCATGCACACCTGTTATCCCAGCACTCTAGGAGGCTGAAGCAAGGTGATTCCAAGTTGAAGTCCAGCATTCACTGTCACAGGGAAAGAATTTCTTAAAATATTTAAGATCACTCTTGATACGTTTATTCTAAAACATCATGCAGCAAAATGTCTTTTATATTAAATTTTTATAAAGCTGAAGTCCTGAAATGGTGACAAAAATTTTGTTTTCTATCTAATCTATTCATTTTCCTATTTAATTGACACAAATCTTAGTTGATAGTACAAAATGTGGCATGCTTATGAGCTTCCATCTAAGGCAGCACCAGCTATATTCAGAGTGGAATTCAAGCTAGTGGATTGGAATACCTACTCCTGAGTTTCAGATCTGGTCCGTAATTGGGGTGGGGAGGGGCTTTGGGCGGGCTTCCTTTGAGGGAGGAGGCAGAGGCGTTGCTAGAAAGCTGTGGAGCCCGACTAGGGTTGTTACTACTCAGGTTAAGCCTTGTAGTATTGAGTGAGGACTCTCCCCTGTGGATGGCATTCTTCACGAAAACTAGCTTCCCTTGGCATTTGAATGGGATCTCAGTCTGAGGCAGCTCGTTCTCCAGGACTGAACTGTGAGAGCTGCAGAGGAGACTGTCGAGTGCTGAGGGGAGCCGGCAGAAGTACCACTGAGGATCAGCTGTCCTGAAAGGTCCAACCAGCCCCCTGGGCTTTAGTGAGAAAAGCAGAGCTAACCTCTGAACGAGGTCAGGGATTGAGAACTGCACAGCGTGCCTGGGGTTTGAAGCCAGAGCGAAAGTCGGAAGATAGAGCCGCGTGTAATCTGCTTTAGCAGCACCAGCAGCAGCCACTCCAGTGCCAGATTTGTGAGTACTCTGCGTCTCCTGTCCACAGACGGAGCGGGAGAACTAACTCTCTCGGAGAACTCTGCTAGGAGCCAATCCCTACAAACACCTTTTCCTGCCCTCCTCATCTGCCTCGGGGACAGACGACCGCCACCCTTCCTCTGACCACAGGATGGAGAGCAAAGGCAGGAGCTGACCAGCACCGCCCCTCCAGACTCAGGAGGTGGAGATCCCCCGGGTCCGGCCAAATTCAACACCCATTTTCTCCTCCCTCTGCCCCTATATTACCGACACCCCCTCCTACTTCCCCTTTCCCTCCTCCCTAGAGACAGGGGAGGAGAAAAGGGGAGTTCAGGTCGTCATGACTGAGCTGAAGGCAAAGGATCCCCGGGCTCCCCACGCGGCGTGCGGCAGGCCCTCCCCCACCGAGGTCGGGCCACCCCTGCTGGGGCGCCCGGACGCTGGTCCCTTCCAGGCGAGCCAGACCTCTACGGACGCCTCGACGGGGGCCGCAGCCATACCCATCTCCCTGGACGGTCTGCTCTTCCCTCGTCTCTGCCAGGGACAGGACCCCCTCGGCGGGAAGGCGCAAGAGCAGCAGTCGCTGTTAAACGTGGGGGGCGCGTACTCCGGAGCAGCAGCAGTAGGGGGTGCAGGAAGCAGCAGCTCTAGAGCCCCCGAAAAAGACGGCGGGCTGCTGGACAGTGTCCTGGACACGCTTCTGGCGCCCCCGGGGTCCAGGCAGAGCCGCACCAGCCCTCCTGCCTGCGGGGCCATCAGCCCTTGGTGCTTGTTCGGCCCAGAGCTTGCAGAAGACCCTCGGGGTGCCCCTGCCACCAGGGGGGTGTTGTCCCCGCTCATGAGCCGGCCGGAAAGCAAGGCTGGAGGCGGTTCCGGGGTGGGAGCGGCCCCCAAGGTGCTGCCCACAGGGGTGCCGCCGTCCGGGCAGCTGCTGCTCCCGACCCCTGGGGGCCCCCACTGGGCAGGGGCCGCAGCGAAGCTGCCTCCTCCGCCGGCTGCGGTGGAGGTGGACGAGGAAGGCTCCGAGTCCGACGGCTCAGCAGTCCCGCTTCCGAAAGGCAGCAAACCTTCGGCTCTGGGAGGCACCGTGGCCGGAGGAAGAGTCGCAGCCGCCTCACCTGGAGCGGCCCCAGGAAGCGTCACCCACGTCCCCAAGGAAGATTCCCGCTTCTCGGGGGCCAGGGGTGCGGTGGCGGAGCAGGACACGCCGGCGGCGCCCGGGCGCTCCCCACTGGCCACCGCAGTGGTGGATTTCATCCACGTGCCCATCCTCCCGCTCAACCATGCCTTCCTGGCCGCGCGCACCCGCCAGCTGCTGGAGGGAGAGAGCTGCGACGGCGGGGCCCCCGGGCCCAGCGCCTTCGCCCCGCCGCGCGGCTCGCCCTCGTCCGCGGTCACCCCGGTCCCCTGCTGCGAGTTCCCCGACTGCCCCTACCCGCCCGACGCCGAGCCCAAGGAGGATGCGTTCCCTCTGTACGGCGACTTCCAGCCGCCGGCCCTGAAGATCAAGGAGGAGGAGGAGGGCGCGGAGGCCGCCGCGCGCTCCCCACGCCAGTACCCGGGGCCCGGCCCCAACCCCGCCGCCTTCCCGGACTTCGCGCCGCCGCCGCCGCGGGCGCCCTCGTCCAGACCCGGGGAGGCGGGCGCAGGGGCCACAGCGGCCGGCGTCGCCGTCTCGTCCGCGTCGCCGTCAGGGTCGACCCTGGAGTGCATCCTGTACAAAGCCGAAGGCGCGCCGCCCCAGCAGGGCCCCTTCGCGCCGCTGCCCTGCAAGCCCGCGGCCGCCGCCTGCCTGCTCCCCCGGGACGCGCTGCCCCCCGCCGCGGCTGCCACCGCGCCTGCCGCCCCCACGCTCTACCCGCCGCTCGGCCTCAACGGGCTCCCGCAGCTCGGCTACCAGGCCGCCGTGCTCAAGGACGGCCTGCCGCAGGTCTACCCGCCCTATCTCAACTACCTGAGGTGAGCTCGCCCGGCCCTGCGCCCGAGGCCGCGAGGGGGTGGGCGACCCGGACGGGCGCGGGGGCCGTTCATCTCCTGCTTCCCTTTTCTCCTTAAAAGGGGGACACAAAGGCGGCACAGAATGTGCTATTTTTAGAGCTTGCCTCCCAGAAAGCATTAAAAAAAAACAAAAAAAAAAAACACTCCCCGAAGCTGCTAGATTCCGAATCAGGACCAAGCCTGATTTAAAAGCGCAACGTCATGATAGATGCGCTGTTGCCCCACGGAGTGGAAACGGAGAGAGGAGTTGGGTGCTATGGAACATGCTTCTTTCTTGGATATTTACGGGAGTATCTGCATAGGAGAGGGACTAGGGCACCGTCCTCCAGTAAGGGGTGAGACTTGAAGGGTCGGGGGGACAGAACCCAAAGCGGAAAGACCTTATCGGGATTTGGTCATCGCTCGAGTTCATGTGAATCTCAAAACTAAAATTAATTTTAAATGTGATATATTTATTGAGGATTTAAACATCAATCCCTGCAGTGCCTTGTAGTCTAATATTGTTCTGGATTCCCTACAACTTTTGTCATATATAGTCTCAAGAACGTTTTAGATTACATACTGAAGTAATGCAATGTAAAAGAAAAGGAATGTTGTTAGTAGCCTTTCGTGCTGTGAATAGGCAAAACAGTGTATAGAGCACTGCAGTCACACAACACATATATATCTAAATAAACAATCATTACATGATTTTTTTCAAAACTCAAAATAGGCATTGCTGATTGAACTCTTAAAACCAAACCACGTTGTTATCTAGCATACAGAAAGGCCGCAATATTTCATTTGTCAAAGTCTAAATTTCGATATAAGGACTGCTGTAGAAAAATTTCTGTTTAACTGATTGACAGACATTAGCCTTTCTGAACATAAGTGCTGCACTCATTGCTGTTTTTCTATGTTGGTACTACTGATGAAGGCTAATACTTAGCAAGTCTAGTGGGCCTAATTACAGGTGGTCTATTATATGAAGTTCAGTATTATATCAAGTTCCAAATGTGTGTGTGTGTATTGTATTATATCAAGTTCCAAGTGTGTATGTTAAAATATCGTGCAATTTTTAAAATCTCCTCTCACTTTGTCAGTGCTGGTCTAAGAAATCTTTAATAATAGATAGTAATGCACCTAAAAATAAATGGAGTACTTTGTCTTGTGTTTCAAGGCCGGATTCAGAAGCCAGCCAAAGCCCTCAGTACAGCTTTGAGTCATTGCCTCAGAAGATTTGTCTCATCTGTGGGGATGAAGCATCAGGCTGTCATTATGGTGTCCTTACCTGTGGGAGCTGTAAAGTCTTCTTTAAAAGGGCAATGGAAGGTAGGCTTCTTTTTCCTGATTCTCTATTATTGGTTTGATTGTCAAAGGAGACCATCTAATATTAATTGTCTTTTATAGCGTCTAAGAAATGGTGACATTTCCCTATAACTTAAGATGTAGAATGACATCATAACAATAATATTTACTATAATACTCAACAGTGGATGTGGTTGTATCATAATTTCATGTTCTAACACTTTCAGTAGTCAACACAAGTCATAATCTTCAGGACAGTGCTACTGTTATTCACTAACTAGTGGACTTTTAAGAACAACTTCGTTTCAATATTTGAAATACAAATCTACTATATATGTAAAATAATCTAAAATTTTGAATAAAAGTGCTATTAGTTGAAATTATATATGCATATGTATATTTATATGAGTTATATATGCATGTGCATATATAGCACATATATATGATGTAGTTAAATATATAACACACATATACATTAATGTACATATATATACAAAATATGTATAAGGTGCAGTTATTAATTTTGTACATGATTTTATCTTTTCCCTACATGAATATTTATGCAATGGTAATTTCAAACAAAAGTCTTAATTCTTTTTGTTTAGTATATTTTTATGTATGTAAGAAGATAGAAGTAAAATGTTTAAAAGAAATGAAAATTGTGAGCATCACAGTAATGTAATTTCTAAAGTATTGCTTTAAGTAAAATGTGCACATTTTAAAACTCATTTAAATTACATATTTATCAAATGATTTTGGATTGACTTGATTAATGTATTTTAGAATTTAACTTTCATAAACATTTTAAATTTCCCTTTCCACTTACACTAAACTCTATTAAAAAGCAAAACATTTATATTTGAAGATAGAAAACATTTATAGATCATTTTACATTTGATTATTATCATAAATGTATTTTATAACAAGCTGAAATGAAGTGCTGGTATCATACTTGGACAAGGAACTAGACTTGATTGTCAACTTTTTAATTTATTGTTTCTGAAGTTTTCTGATTTCACAAGCTTTTGACTTAATAAGCAGCAAGGGAGGAAGTGGAAAATTTTCATTATAAGGGGATTTCAAAGGAGTTCTTAATAAAAAATGTGCTTTGTATATTTTTATAATTTACATATTAACATATTTAATTGATATTTAATGTGTTTGTCTTTAAGAGGTTTAATTGCATTTTAAATTAATTGAGGCACTGTTAAAAGAGGGCACTTGAGGACAAAGGGCAAGTGAAGTGACCAGAGCTTTGCTGTGGATGTGATGTAGCCAGTTACAGATGTAAGTTATAGAGGTGTGGGAAAGTTGGTTTTCCAGGGATTGGAGTTGCCATTTCTTCTAGCTTTGACTTCTGCACCATTCCCTTCTGCCTTATGAATCCCTCCATTCTTATCACCGCCTTAAGATACTATAATTTTACAAGTGGGTAATCCCTTTAGAATCTCCAAAAGGTCAGTTTATTAGAACTTACCTCCTTTTTACAGATAAGCAAATCTCAAAGACATAAATCTGAATTCCTAAAAATCACACATTTGGTTAGTAGATGATTCGTAGTAAAAGTAGGCTAGATATTTTGAAATTACAAAGCTTATAGATCAAAAGTGATATGTGTAGATATGTGCCACTTAATTCGCAGAAGTTCCTTCATAAAATGGATATATAGAATAAAGAGCACTCCAACTACAAAATATAAATGTTTTCATGTCATCATTAGAATAGCATCCAAAAACTATAAAATATATTTCCCAGCTTACCCTTAGAAGGTATTTGTAGAATTTCTATTGTTGGCCTGGTCCTATTTTAGTCTTGAATAATAGAAAGAAAGCATCTTATTCAGCAATATTTACAAAGAAGTACTTTAGATAGATATTGAAAAATCACCCATGAAGCTAGGGCAAAGTTATAACACTCTGAGAAATTTCATTTATTCAGCATTTATTATACACCTCCTACATTTAGATTTATGCTGAAGATGCTCTTTCCCTGAATGCATCTCCCTCTTACATACAATGATGATAATAACATTTGATACTTTTTAGAGTTCATATGAAGATTAAATTAGTACATATATGCAAGGCATTTAAAAGAATGCCTCACATATTTTTTATTCCAGTGGTCTCCCTTTTACCTTCAAGGAACTTATAATAGATTTGGTGAAGTAACATGTATGCACATAAGATATTTAAATAAAGATTCTTATTAAATCCCCAGGTAAGTGGTTCTTTAATGTATAAGAGATTTGTGTCGTTTGTGTGTTTGTGCAGTGGAGAGGTGTTTGTGGGTTGGAATATGTGGTTCCATGGATGATGTGATTCTCATGTGCTTATTTAAGAACAAGTAAGATCTCCAGGTATTGAGGAGGGCTTTAAGTATACATATTCAAGAAAGTTACATAAATTAAGATTACATTGAATAGGAGTTGAATATTCATTTAGAAAATTGTGAAAGTTAAAGGTTGGAAAGTTGAATTGCTAATGTTTGGGTGAATTGAGAGAGAATCATTGGCTGAAACCAAGAGAATAGAAGTTTCCAGGAGTTTTCAGGAAAGAGAAAAATAAGTAGAAGGACCTTTATAGTTAGAGAAATACCAAGTTTGAAATCTCAGAGTAAAGCAGAGCTGGGTGATGAGCTGGTTCAGGGTAGATCTCTGTGTAGATGTCAGTATGGCCAGAAATGGACAGTCATTGGAAACAATTTGAATATTAATGTTATCAGGGACATTAATGATAGAAATGGCATTATAAAGTACGTTCTATGTGCCAGTGACTAAGTAGTTTATAAATCTCAATTCATTTAATCCTTATAACATAACTATGATTATTTCTCCCACTTTGCTAACTAGGATCTTAAGCTGTTTTAATCACAGTTAGGAAGTATAGAGTCAAGACTCAAACTCAGATGGTGTGATCTCTGCTATCAAATGCCATGATTCCTTTCTCATAACAGGAAATGTGATCAAACATGTTTCCAGGTGATGATGCATCTAGAAAGGTAAAGTGAATCCTAAAGGAGAATGAGAAGTATGTGATTTCAGTGGGTGGATTATATTAGCTTCATATGTAGGGTGGCAGTAAGAAGACAAAATCAAGGGCTGAGAGCCATTTTCTTCACCTCTCTTCCAAGTTAGGAGTGGGAAATGAGAGAAGCTATAAAGTCACTCAGAAAACTCAGTTTCACTTGGTATGTATGGCACAGAAGAGTGAGAGAGAGAGGTAGAGAAAAAAGATACTACTGAGGAAATAGAGAAGGAATTTTTCTTAACCTAACTGAACTATTTAAAATATGTTAGCTGAAAAGGCAGTTGGTTGAATAATCCATTGAATTCCTTTACCAAGACTTGTAGGGTTGGAGTGAACGAGGAAGTGGTCAAGAATTACTTAATGTTTTTCGAGATGAAATGGCCTGCCTTTCCTACAAATTCAGGCTGATGAACCAGTACTGTGAAAGAAAAAGACATTTTTCATTGGTTTATCTCTGTATGCATTATGGCCAGTTCAGTGCTAGGAAAACACTAGACATTCAGTAAACATTTATTTGCTACATGAAACAGATATCATAACTGATAATGCTACACTCTTATTCTTTGGATACGGTACTCTGACAATATTTATAGACATACATTTGATGTAATGTGGTTAAACAAATATAGTTAAGATGTGCTATTTAGAAGACAGGCTCTGTAGGTATTGATGATTTTTTAATTGTGTTATATTATCGTCATTCTTATTCACGTATTAATTTTTATGAATTAATTACCTTAACTAAATTAGTTTGGGTATTAATGTCTATGTACTGTGCTAGGTGCTGGTGAAAGTACAATAAAATACAACAGACCTGGCTGGCCATTGCTGTAGTGGAGCTTATAATTGTGGGTGAGGGACATTTTACCAAGCTATAAGGACATAACTAATTGAAGATATGATTAAGTTATTAGATTGTGCAAGTGTGGACAACTAGAGAATTGACACCTTACCTTCACCCCAGTCAGAAGCTGGATATAGTATGGAAATTCAGAATTAGAGCTATTATTATAAATAGGCCACAGAGGAAATTGAAAAGAAATGAAATATTTTCATGAATAAGTTGTTCTTTCAGCAGTTGAATATATACTTGGTATCAAAGTTAACAGGGAAAACTGATTCAGTAACATAGTTCTTGATATGGATTCTGAAAAAGCAATATTAAACATACAATTTCTTTGTTAACAACTTGAATAAATTACTTTTCCTGTCTTTAGATTGCTATAATGCTTTCTCTTTCTTTGGTAGTTCACAAAATTATCCTGTTCCACTATAATTTATTTGATTAGTAGTTGGTCTTTTAAGAAGATATTTTACCAATCGTCTTATTTAATTTACTTTCCAAAAGAGTCTACCCTTTGGCAGTTTTCCTATTACTCTAAAATTAAGTATGTAGTGATTCACTAGACTTCATTTCAAAACTTCAGCCAATTTCTTCTCAACCTGCACTTTTCTTAATTTAATGTTTAACATGAATAATAAACCAGTTTTAAGAACAAATTTACATTACAACACATTGAAGTAATCTTCTACTATACTAAAAAAGAAGTAGCTACAATGAGAGCATTTGCTATCATCTGTTCAGTATTTGGTTATGTAGCATCCTCAGATTATTAGTGCTCCTTCAGAGTCTGAATAGTCACACCTCTGCAAGAGCCATTGGGGAAGCAGGAGCACCCAGCATCCATGCTGGTGTCAACAGTTACGTTTTTGCTTTGGCCACTGAGCCCTGGAATTTGATTATACAAGTAATATAACAGTACATTCTCCTTTCAAAAATTAAAACATTACCAATGAAGCTTAACTCCATTCTATTCTGTATCACTAATGTTTTCACTTCCATACAATTTTTAAATCCTTTACCTCAATTTTTATGTGTGTGTGTGTGTAATATGTTGTTTGGGTTATGTTAATACATGGTGTCACATTTCATAGATGTCATTACTTCACATTACCTTTTACATACAATGACTTGATTACTGGTATGTATGTGTAGTT